GAAAGTTCAAATATTTATATTTAAGGATCAGAATAATAAAAACGTTCAGGATTAGGTACACAGAGAATATTTTACAGTTTTTTTCTTTTCATATAATTTTTTTTAATTTCACTATGTTTTTAATAGTCCAGGAATGGGCTGTCAGTAAGGACTATCTTACTAAGGAGCGTAGCAAATTTCGCGAGAAACATAGCAGATTTATAATAGCGCATTTCAATTCGTAAAATATAATAGCGCGTATGAAATGAATGGATAATGAATTACTGCAGAATATCGATTTATAATGCTTGATTAAGTCTTTAAGTGTGCTTGGTTAAGTCCTACAGTGATGTTTATTGTACAATTCTCTTCGTCCATATGTCTGGGAATTTGTACTTTTACCTTATTTATGCGAGGTGCTTTACGGATATCTAGACATCGCGAAGCAAAGCGTGGATTTTCTCTATCAGGTTAGTGTTTTCTAAATTTCTGTTACTATGAGTTTAATTCTAGAATGCAATATTACATCTTCCACACAGTACTCTTTCCACGATATTCTCTGCACTTTCGATTAACTCCTCCTCCTCCTTAAAATTCAAACTGACCTCGTGCCATAAAGATTGCAACAATTTTTTTTGACGAATTTCGCAACATATCCGACTCAATGGAGAAATGTATCTTTCAGTACTTCTCAGGGGATAAATTTATTCCATTGGAAACTGGACGCGTTTTGAAGTTCATCGAGATGAAAATGCTGCAAACTTTTCTCTACTAATTGTATTCTCTACGATATATAGATGAAATCTCTCAAATTCGATTTGCATTTATATAATTTCTTTCCTTTTTCTTACGAAATCGTTCGCTCGTCCGCCAAAGAACGGCGCAAAAATTATACGCGGGATAACTCACACTGAACGCGACGCGATAACTTCGATGGAGAGTCATAAATCGCCGGAGTTGATCGTCGCGATGTTTATTGTCGTTCTCACCGAGGTGACAGACAATTTCGACCGTAAGTCGCTACTGACGCGCGCGAATAAATTATACGGCGCGCAGTTACGTTCCGCGGAGCGTGACGTGAGCGTTTACACTCGCGGGGCAATTAATCGAAAGTGCAAGCCATGATTTTGCCGCGGCCGATCCGTGGATCGTCATCGCGCGGACGTTGTGCGACGTTTCTCGGCGGAACACACGCGCGACCATCAGATGCGTGCTCGGACCACGATCACGATCCGATATCGGCCGGATAGGAAATGTTACGACTCAGAAGAGGAATAACGCGATAAAATTGCGGATCGTGCGCTCTGTTGAGATTGAACGGTCTACCGTCTTGCGCGCGCGCGCGCGTTCCGCCGGCATATCACGGCCGTAAATAGGCGAGCGAAGTGGTTCGGGAAGCACCGATCTAAATTAACATACGTACTTTGTTCGCGCGTTACTTAGGAGTAAATTTAACTCGGCTGGCAAATCGAGCTTTATTCCTGGATACGAGGCAATGCGCGCGTCGAACGTCAAAGTCGCTCGACACGAGGGAGTTGTCATCGTGCGTTGTGACGCAACCGCAAGACGATGAAATACGAGGCACTGCGGATCGAATCCTATGCAGATTTCTTCTTCTTCTTTTTTTAATTCGCTTTCGTTTCTACACTTCTCCATGGTATCGCGTGTACAGGGAACGACTCGTCGATATACTTAATAATCTATCGGCGACGACGATCCCGACACGCGCGGATTATTACAACTAGCGAGCTCTAAGGAGCGCAATTATACTAATAGAGCCGTCGGCGAAACGCACGGGACGGGAGGGGGCGGACTAGGCGTTATCCTTCAGTAGACGCACCAAAGGATTTAATTTACCTTCCTCCGAATTTCTGTACTGCTCCAGCAACTGCACAATTTGCAAATGTATTCGTTAATTTTATCGATCGTAGAGTGCGATACGCGCGTTGGGGGCAGGGGAGCGTGCAAAGGGTGCCAAGGCAAAAGCCAAAAGTGAATTGTATCAATTCGCAAATTGAGTCCACGCGTCGAATACAACGCAATCAATATGACAGCAAAGTTATTGAACAAAGGGAACTTCCAAGAATTAAAACGCTGAAACTCAAAATATTACAGCGGGCATGTAACGTACACAAAACATTAATTAAATTTAGCTTAATTACATTGATATTATACAATCAATTAGTAAAGTTGATATTTAATTTAATCAGACGTATATGCATACGTCGCATGACAGATATAATTTTTGCATTAAATCAAAATAAGATTTATGACGGGGGAGATCAAAATTTCGAAAAATGGCACAGTCAGCTCACAACGTGGCAAGATTCGTATTTGCGTTCACTCACCTCATATGACAATTCGCAAGACAATATCGCCATTGCTTCGGGATTCTGATGTGTGGCGGCTAAAAGCGCCGGCGATGTGTAAGGTATCAATCTGGGGTCTCCGTAGAAAGGGAACGGTAGAGTACACAGCTGCTGTAGAACGCTAGGGCCCGCTCCGGCTGATTGGAGAACCAGCTGAAACAGATTCCCCGCGAGGGCTCTATTACTTTTTCGTGCCTTCTGTTTTTTCCTCTTTGAATTTTACAGTAACTCTATAAAATCCATCGACACGACGGTGGACAAAAGAGCTGGAAATGGTCAAAAACTAGCTTAAACTATCCGACACTGTGTCCGGGTTATCGTAAAATGTCAAGGGGATGAAATCAGAGGGAGGGTGTGAGGTGTTCAGGTTTCATGGTAGTCTATATTTTCCACAAGGTCCCAGAGAATAATTATACAAAATTCCAGATCTGTCAAAGGGTTTAGGAGTTTATAGAGAACGTACAAACAGACATTCTATTTTATATACATATATATAGATTAACCGATTAATAGATATATAGATTTAATTAACACTGTAGAAATAATAATCAATTTTAATATAAAAATTTTCAGAAATTAAAATCAATTACTGTTTCTACCGTAATTTTCTCTATCGATCTTTATCACCCATAACCAAATCCATTAACTTTTAGGCTGCTTTCATTAAAAAAGTTTTTTTTTCTCAAAAATTTTTCTATATAAGTAACATACACATGGCACAGAATCTTGAGATTTGTGTAGAGCCATTTTGGCTTTTCCGGTAGAAAACTCACGATCAAATATAAAAAAATTTTATTTTCTCAAAAATAGTGTATTTAGGAGTTCTTGGTATCGCTGATTTCAATTCTGAGCATAGATTTATGAAATTTCGAGTAAGTGCAACATTAACAATATAAATAAATATAAACATATAGATTCATGCAGTCTTTATTGTTTGGTTTTTTAATGTTTAACTTTTGTATTTTTTTTTTACTTTTTTGCTTATTTTATAATTTTTTGATTATTTATATTTTTAATTTTTTTTATATTTTTCAATATTTATATTTTTTTATTACATTTTGTGATTTCTTTATGTTAACTTTTTTCCGTAATCATAATAAAATTTTTTTGAAATGATAATTTTCAAAGCAGGGTGTTATGCATAATGAAGCATTACAATTACTGCATGTGTTTCGGCGACGTAAGTGCGAACAAGCACCGAAGAAACATGTATTGCGTAAGCTACATACACACATACATATATGTTTAATACATTTAGCATTTACCACTAAAAATAATAGTATTTTAACCCAAACTCAAGAGCCACAAAAGTGGCTTTCCCCGGCAGTCTAAAGGTTAAATATAAAAATAACAAAAGCCGCTAGATGCACGAAGTTTTCGCCCCGAATATAAATGATTTCTAAATATTACACAATTTTCCTCGGGAAATATTACAATTTTTTCATGCTGTCTTCACGAAAGTAAGCGGGACTCGCGTTTTCTTCGCGCTTTATCGGTGAGGTTGTTCATTGAGACAAGGCACCGGTGTGCCGGAATGAAGATCTCTTGTAATTACAAATTACCCGCATGATAGTCTCAATTGGAGGCTCTCGATTGTTACGTACGACCGAGACGGTTAATTAAGACGGCTGGAGTAAATTTTCTTAAAAGACCGTGAGAACCTGGTCGGCCCAGGTGTCACGGAAGCGGCAGGTAGTAGAGTCTTGGGCGCAAGAAGATGTCACCGGACATCTGCGTCTAGCGCGACAAGTGCCACCGTGAACAGGACGTTGTATTCCCGTGCACCTGCGGATTACTCTTGCAGGAAATGCCCACATTACGCCGCGTCGTCGGCGCCCGTATTGCGTCCGTGTTGAAGATCGGTTCGCCCGTTGTGGTTACCGTAACCGTAACCGCGGTAACGTAATTCGGTAGCACGCGTAATTCGATGACGATTGATTCGCGATTGAATCATCGAGGAGAGGTCCTCTTGTCGAAAAACAGAAGGCTCCTATCGTGGAAACTGCCAGGAAGGTAGAGCCTTATCGATCCACGGCGGAAAGTCGCTCGACACGTTTCGAGTTATGGCCGGGGCAAGGCTTTCCCTCCGCGGCTCCCGCGTTTCCAACCTTTGCCGTACGTACGCGAGCGCGGCTTGGTGAATACGCGGGAAAATAAGAGCAACTACACGGAAGCGAAAGAGGGAAAGGTGTCGAGAACGAGAAGCTATCTGAACGTTTCCTAGGCTTGAACCTCTCGTTGACACCATCTAGGTCGATCAAATGGCGAAGACACGAGCGTGTCACGATTAGCGGGCGTGTAGCGGCACGCGCCTGGTTCTAAGGGGGTAAACGTCGGCCCCGACTTCAAAATAAATAAGAGCAGAACGCGGTTAACACATCACGTTGGCGCCACCGCGCGAAGGAAGGAAAAAAAGAACCCACTCGAATTCAGTTACGAGCCCCAACAAGAAACGAGCATAGACGTGTTTATGATCGCGAACGGAGAAGGTGGAAGTCGTCGTAGTCAGCGCGATAACCTTGGCTGCTGCAGATGCTCGTAGGAGCTTAAAAGCGTCACGTCGTTTCACCCTCTCTTTCTCTCTATCTCGCTCTTTCCTCCGAACAATTTCCCCGCTCTTCCTTCCGTTTTTTGCTCTCTCCCCTTCTTCGGAAGACGATTTTCCCAAGGCAGTTACTCTTCTCCTCGGGACGCGGAGGCTCGACTCGTTCTTCGTTCGGGAAAGAGAGAAAAAGAGAGAGGGAGAACGGCACCTTAAAAAAGCGCTGAAAGACGAATGCGCGACGTCGGCGATGCACTCAACGTTACATCCCGATTCACGTGTCCGCGAAATCGACGCGTCCGCGACTGCAGGACCGATCTTAGCTTCGGACCCGAACATTCCCGTCGGTTTCTCGCGCGCGAAAAGGGTCCTTCAATCGAATTATTATTGGCAATGAAAGCACCCAAAATCTTATCAAAGAGCGTCCACGTAAATCTCCATATAAATTCTAAATCTACATACCACATTACAATATTCTAACAGATACAAAAACGATCAATTTTAACTATAATATTTAAAAGTCGACCGACAAAACATATTTTTTAGTGAATGCTCTCAAGTGTATTATTTATCATTCGACGTAAACAGGAAATTGTTATTTCCAAGAGTATACATGTTTTCAATCGTCGCGCTTCATTGGTCGACTTCATCTCTTGAGATCAGCTCCGATATCGTGTCTATAGTCTCCCTCGTGTATGTGTCTTTCCGCCTCGCACGCGTTATTTAATTATTTATCCGAATTTTCCACGCGGCCCCGCGAATCGATGGACCGGCACTGCACGGAAGAGCGCGCGCGTATGTGCACATGTGCACGCGTGCACGCGTCGTGAAGCGTATGGAACGGAACGCCGTAAATATATCTTAACGGCGTTCGGCCGTATATTGATGGGAGGTCCGCTGAGTGTGTTGTGTCTAACAGCTTCTTCCTTCTTCTCGCCGGTAACGCGCTGTACGCGCCATCCAGCGCATTCATTTCACCGGACGGTATTTCAACGGGCGTACCACGAGCCTACCACGGCCACGGGGAAAACCACCACTCGAAGATCTCAAGACAGTAAATGCTTTAGCCAATCTTTATATGTAGCATAACGAAGTATTCTTCGAGACAAATCAATACGCAACCAAAGAGAGAAAGTTCGAAATATGTTAAGACCTTCGAGGGTGTCAAAGTCTCCCACAAGTCCGCAAAAAGAATTCGAATCGAAGATCTTAGAAATGGAAAGAGTTCTTCGCCTCTTTTTAATGTATTTATATATGTAAAAGTGGTAAATAAGACGATTTTAACACGGAAAAAAATTTGAAGGAATTAAGCAAGTTTCTGGTAAAATATCAACGTGCCAGAAATTCCGGTTGAAGTTGCCAGAGTTGTGCTAAAATTTTTCAAAAGTTTCTGGTTGAATATGGACAGAATTATGGTAGCTTCAACCGGAATTTTCTGGTACGTTTATATTTGATCAAAAATTGTTTAATTCGATCAAACTTTTTTCCATGAAATGAAATATAAGGAAATAGGAGAATGTATGCATTTCCTTGGGAAATATTTCTCGAGAAAATATATCGTTTCCATCACTTTTTACGCGATTTAAATTACAAATAACTTGACATTCGGGGAAAGGCTGGTAGATCTGACGGAGTGGCGTGCAGAATTCTTTCGAATTTCGAATTCGCTCGCATCGAATAACATGCAAAACAATGTCTCACCTGATTATCCGAGTTGTTAACGGCGAAATAGCCGAGCACCATGAACAACTCCGAGAGGATGTAAATACCGCTCGTGTTCAGCATCGATTCCGGCTTGTCCGATAAAGAATCGCGAGACAGCCGGGTTATCAGGTGGCTCGCTATGAACCGCCACTGCAGGCTCGTACCTTCGACACCCAGGAAGTCCTGCGAACAAAATATCCCGCGCAAAGAAGTTACTCGTCCAACATTGTCCCTCGCGTTTCCCCCAGCCATAAAGCAAGAGACAATGACAATGATCAACGAATGACCAAAGAACTACACTTTCAACATTTTATCCGGTAAGTCCAACGTTCGATAAGTTTCTGATAAGGCGAGATCAATCAGTCTCCTGATTCTTCTTCCACGAAAGCGAATCGGCAGCTCTCTCCTCGTAATGCTGCGGCTTACACGCAAATCCGGCACAAAGTAACGTACTTAGCAGCGCTTAATGGGTATCGATATAATTCCGCCGCTCTTTTCTTGACCTTAAATTACCAATTCCCCTTCAAGACGGCCCGCTGAGCCCGTTGAAATCTAAGACGGGCTTGATCTGACTTGATCGTGCGGTAGCCGCTGCAAACTGTCGGCCTGTCTGCCGGCCAGCAGCCGGCTTTGTCATCGCGAAACCGCATCGTCGAGAGCGGCCAAAGAGAATGGATAATAACCGTTGGTTTTTCGACAAATGTGCACACCGCGGGGTTCGTCCGGGATAATCGACAGTGGCTCCCGCGGGACTCTCGCCCGGCGGCGCACCCTCCCGCGGGGCGCGGGATGGCCCGGGTGGTTTTTGCCAAGGGGGCGCGAGACACCGCCTCGATTCAATTCGCGGTCGGTGCGCCGTCGAGGACTTCACGGGAGGCCTTTCGCGTCTTGACAGGCGAACCCCCGCGATACATGATATCTCCATCACGCTCGGCGCCCTACGCCCTACGCCAACGATAAGCCGCATTGTTGGCGGCAACAAGCGGCATCGTTGTCATTTGGAGAGGTGGCGTCCGGGGAGCACTCGGTGCCGAATCGAAGACCGTCGCGAATTAAAGAGTAATGGAGTTCGCAGTGATGTCTAATGGACGCGCGTTCTGCTTGCAGCTTGACAGTGTCCCGCACGCACGACTGAATATCGTGACAACCGCGTAAATTAAGTAACGCAATCTCTAAATTTCTTAGGATGAAATTCTACTCGAAGAGTATACTCCCGACAGCCGTCGAGTCACTTGAATGACTTTTCGCTCATACGCGATGAATTCCCCTTTCTCGCCGAGTGAATATTTTCCTTCGAAGTTCAAGAGCGAATTTAACGCATTCCATCGTCGCGGAAACAAATTTATCAATCGAAATATTTACTCGTATAGATTAAGAATCCTAAACTTCTTTTTGTGATTTGTGGCAGTATTTTTTCCATTCTCGTCTCGGGCGAATTTTCGTTCGTTCTCAGAAAGATTACACGCTCCCAGAAATGTAGAATAGGAAGTATAATTAATTGCATGTGGAAAATCGGCTGCATTAATGCGTAAGGTAGAGATACCAATAGCCGGACATGTCCCTATATCCAGACATATACACGGAAAATTATTATTATTAACCTTAATTATTTCTTTTAGTATAATATTAATGTTTAATTAAAATCTATCAATATTTAAAAATATTTATATGTTGAATTATTTTAAATATTATAAAAATTATTATCCAATGAATAAGAAAACTTTGATAACATAACATGATTAGATACAGGATATACTTTCACGATGTTCTTAACGTTTTGTTAAGAAGTTTGATATATTTGTTAAGATATTTTTTATTTACTTTATTGTTTTTATCTCATAATAAGCATTACGTTATATAATCCGAAAATGGTAAAGAATAATTATAAGAATGCATTTAGTTAATAAAAAAAACTTATTTATAGTTAAATTTTATAAATTTAGCTACTGGTACAGTAATTTCATAATTGCCTAGTAACCGGCCACACGTTCAGTTACAGATGCAACTCGCATTACACATGTACTCGCGTGTACCAACAAATCGAGCAAATCGAGAATAACTGCGCTGTCACAAACACTCTTATAAATTACTTAAAATTATTGTCGACAAAAGTTTAGAGAGTAAGTAAATATTGACACATCAATCAATGTAATTTGAAAGTGTATTTTAACCATATAATCTCTATACCTATATCTCTATACCTCTAAAATATAACTTCCGTACGGCATCCATGCGAACACTTCGCAGTGTTACCTGCATTAATACTGTATGAATTATGGCTTTTTTATAAGATCATAAGTATGTCAAGAAACATAAGAAAAGTCATATACACAAAAGGACGTGAATGCTGCTTTGGAGGACATGAAAAACGATAAAAATAACAAAAAAATCAATCAAATATGACGATTTATTTGTAATTTTATTTTAATCATCATGTTCGGATATTGCGTCAACTGAGTTTAACAATAGAGATATTGTCCGGGTATTGGTACATTCTTACTCTTGCAAATTTTGATTATTTTTTAAATAATTTTGATAATTTTACTGTCTTTTATATCTTAATAATACTTCTTAAAGTCTCAGCTTTTAATTAATTATATTTTTACATTATTAAGTATTATATACTTTTATAAAATTAAGCAATTGTAGTATTACGCCGTTAAATGTCCGGCTATTGGGACATTTACCTTAATTTGCTTAATAAATACAATATTTCTATATTACAAGATCGATTGTTAATACAATTACTTTTTTCGCAGTGTATATTGATATTTTTTTCATTATGTATTCTTACGGTCATTCAAACGGCTATTAATTATTCTGTTCAATTCAGTACGTTCAAGATGATCGTTCGTTGCTGGTACGTATGACTAGACCGTATCGGCTATTTGATTCTGCACGACAGACTCGAACGGCTGCAAAAATTAAACTTTCATTCGCTCGGTGCCGGCGTGTCGCGAGCCCTGGAAAATTGATATATCGAATTGCCCACATCCGAGCACAAGCTGGAAACTCCACGCTTATTTTAATATTTACGACATGCCGGCCGGCGTGTGTAACCTAGACCTGGATACGCGTTAGATAAACACGGGCTATCGTCCATTGTCTCAATAAAAGTATTATTTTCGTCTTATGGGACATATGAAAATAAGCTCGGCGTTATGGGAAATTTCTCGCGCGCGTCGTAACCGACTTTCGGAACAACAATAACAACACACGCAGGCACGAGACAGACGAGTGGTCATAACGTTCTCAGACACTGAAGTGAACATAAGTAAAAAACGTTACGCGTTATTCTCCGACTCGCGCGAGACAAGACAAAGAGCGATAATTAGCGCGCGCCATCAGGATTGTCATGAACGACGAGAGCAAATCTTTCAAAAGTGATCACCATATTCCATTTTTTTGTATCACACGTTGAAGCTGCAACGGTTATCAATACTGAGAGTAAAAGGTATCTAAAAAATAAAAAATATTTATTCGGTGGATACTAATGACATATATTCACTTATACTAATATAAAATATTTCTCAAGTAAAAAAATCTATGTCTTCTTGAAATCTCAGCTTTCCACGAAAACAATTATTTACTCTGTGTTTCAATAAAAAAATTTAGATTTAAGTAAATATATTATAATATTTATCTAATGTGAATTTTTTTTATATATTTTTTAATATTTTATTTTTAATAATTTTTTATATTTTTTATCTTTTAGATATTTTTTTCTTTTAGTTACCTTATCATGTTACGTATAAAGTACAATTAATTGCATCTGAAAAATCGGCTGCTTGACCGAAGAAGAGCCAATAAAAGGAGATGAAAGACATTCGCGTGAAATTTATAAATTTCACTACCGTGAAATTTATTTACCGTATCTTTAGTAAATAAATGAAAGTCCGTTGAACTTCTTCATAATCTCAACGCGGCAGTCGTGTTAAAATTGAGCAAGAAATACGATCGGGAACTCCGTATTCTCGTTCAAGTGGAATAACCGCTTTATCATCGTAACTAATCAGAAACAATTATTTCTTGTTCCAGATCTGACCAGCAACGCACGTGGCTGTTCCAGGGGGAGGCATTTCCGGAGGACGCGGATGCCGTACCGGAGGATCCGGTTCGGGCCGAGCGGGGTCGGCTTGAAGATAGGTTTTACGGACTCACTGTGCTTCTCTTCTCTCCTTAACCCTTTACTACCGAAAACTCTAATGTAAAAGTCAGGATAACTCGAATTACGACCACAAAGAATTGTTCCACTCGTCTTAACTTCGTTTAACTTCGTTAAACCGAATCTCCGCATTTAACTAACGCTTTCTGTTTTTGTCCTAGATCTTGTGACAGAGCGTGACTGACTTCGAAGTAGTTAAGAGCAATGCAATTTATTTCGCTTACAGATTATTGCACGTGAGTTTTCTCACATATGTATGTACATATCGTGAAACAGAACAATTCGAAACTGTTCGAAACAATAAGATGACCACGTTTTCAAACGTCTGTCTCGCTTAGTAAGCATTCGAGGAGTTAAATATTTCACCGTCAATCTCAATATTTTGGTAGACACATCCGAATGAACACGATATCTTAGCCATTCGCTTTTCCTGTTATATTTGATTCAAACTATGAAATTATTCAGCGGAACTATTTGTTCAGCGTGGTCCTCAAATTATTTCGGCGGCGTATAATGCGCATTAGAATTGCGCCACTTCGCCTGAAACGCGCTATTATTACGCTTGCGTTGATAAATTTTGCAAATATTGCGATCGTTCTCTTGAATCTCTTATGCATTCACGTTACAATCTTGTTGAGTCAAATTCGCTGGAATATCGGAATACAGTTCACAGTAAAGTATCACGAAACGATTCAACGCATCTCTAATCATTATTCCGCTCACTGGCTCACTGATCTCACGTTAAGATTTCACAACTATGTGACTATTTTGTGATTATCATGTTGCAGTTTTACACACGAACAGTTGATTTTGTGAAAAAATATTAACTAAGAATTCAAAGCAAATTTCAGCGAAACACGCGATCGTGCTCGAAAAATATTCAAACAATTAGGAATACAATTTTGTGTTCGCGTCTGCGCTCGTAGATTCCTCACCGCGATTTCCAGTTATCGATTTTTCATGCTTACCTTCGCGTCACGATAGGATATCCCTCCGACCGAGAATCTTCCGGTAAATTAAACCGGGAAGGAGTATTGCGAGAGTAAAGTTCGCAGAAGTACCGCGAGGCAGTATCCGCAAAAATATTACGGAGTTACATCTTCGCTGAAGTGTCGCGAAGATATCCTGCGTGAAAATTTCACGCCACTGCCGATCATTACTTTTCCACAGCTTCGATCGATTCCACGGTGGACGCGCTCGATCTCCGGATTTCGCGACGTTTCACGCAAGTGTGTTCCTGAGATGTGAAAGTGATAACTGATCGCACCGCGGAATTTCTTTCAAAGCAGTCTGCAAATTCAGGCGTGACCGTTCGTTAATCGAACTTGCACACGTTTCGTTTCGAGATAAATAGAGACTCTTCGTCGAGGCCGTCGAAATATCCGCGAGACGTTGCGAAGTAAATATTAATCGCGTCGCCAGTGAAGTGCCATCAACGCGGGATGATGCGGAACTGGACGTCGTTGGATTTCAACGCGAAATGGTGAGTGTTGAATTTTAACACTCATAGAGTGTCCTGTGATGTAGTGCATGCGTAAATGTAAATCGCATTGTTTTCCGGAGACTGTGGCAAAGGCAATTTGCACTACCTCGTTTAAGACCGAATATTTCGATAGTTTAACACATGTATATGATTTTCTGAACCCTAAGGTCCGTATTAACAGCTGTCACCTAAGCTTGTCTCATGTGGTGAAGTGAAAGTGATAATTGTGTTATTGAATGTTTGTTAAGTGAATTCATATTAACGTTACATGTTTAGAGACTTCATTCGTTGGAGCGTGTTTACTTACGTTATCTTATCAATATTTTGCAATATTTGCGTTATTACCTTAACAACATTACTCTTGCAATATTCAATTGCATGATCTGAAAAGATGTACTCTAGGACATTGATAAAAGTTATCATCATCTCATAGTTATCATGTAAGATACTCGGATTTTTATTTAGAGTCAGATTCAAGTTTTTCTCACAAGTAAACCTTCCCAAAAGGTACACTCTGATTTCTTTCTAATTTGGCACAAATGTAGAAGTACAAAATATATTTAGGTCATTTCTTCATTTGGTCCACTTTGAATTTCACGGGCAATTTATAACTTTTTAATGTTCTCACTCCTATCATTAATAAGTACAACAAACATGCATAAGAAATAAAATCGGGAGGAATTTGGCAATTTTAATTAAAATTTTAACAAAATTGGCATAGCTGAGACACGAACCATTCTAAATTTCTTTAGTCAAGATTTCAACCGAAATATTTTAAATCTGTGCTAAATTAGTCAAAAATGTTTCGAATCCCGGCCAAACCGAGAGAAGTTCGGCAGTTTTAATTAAGTTAAAAAAAAATCGGCATAGCTGAGAGACGAACCATTCTAAATTTCTTTAGCCGATATTCCAACCGAAATATTTTAAATCTGTGCTAAATTAGTCAAAAATGGTTCGAATCTCGGCCAAACCGAGAAATTATTTGTATAAATAATTTTTTCTACTTTTTACAAGTTTAAACATTTTATTATTTATACAAATAATTTTACACACTAATTTTTTTACTTTATATTCATAATTAGCAAACCAAAAACGCCTATATTTTGTATTCAATTTTATTATGCATTTTTGTTACACTTGTTGACGATAGGAGTGGAAACATTAAAAAGCTATGAACTGCTCGTGAAACTCAAAATGAGCCAAAATGAAAAAATATTACTTAAATTTTTTTGTACTTTTACCAAATTAAAAAGAAATCGAAGTATAACTTTTGGGTAAGTTTACTTGTCAGTTGAACTGAAAGACGTATCAACAGTTGTTATTTGGAATTTTTCCTACATGAAATACTCAGATCTGAATTTAGAGTTAGATATTGAGTTTCGCATTTAAATTATGTAATATATATTACATCTGTAGTGTCGCGATTCAGTTGAGAAATTCACATCCAATTCTAAATTCAAGTGTGTGTATCTCAGCTGAAGTAAGTTTCAAGTAACAACTATTAATATGGGCCTGACTATTTCACCTGAGACAAGTTTCAAGTAACGACTATCAATACGAGTCTATAAGCTGCGTAATGCGCTACCAAAGCGTAATAACCTTATGTCATCTCGCATATGCCTATCGTCTGTATTTTACTCCTTGAAATACATCTCTAAAAATATATAATTACATTGCACAATTGGAGCCACGGTGAAAGACCGTGGCTACTCATTTAATGCGTAAATTATGAAGCTGGGTACAAGTAAGGGCTATATTTGCAATTCCCACCGAATATAACTATCCGCGACGTTGATTTCATATTCACAGCGAATATAATCATCGTATTAGGGGCGAATGAAATTAAACGGTCGCACTCTCAGCGTGGTGTGTTTGGACGAGTGTGCGGGACGAAATTGGCGCGGACGATAAAATTGTATCGGCGAAGACGTGCGACATCGTGTTACGATCATATATCTCAGAAATATTAATCGAACGGCCGGGATTCCGTGTGGAAAATCACCTGAAAACCGGGAACGCGCTTATTCGGCTCTGCACTCGAAGTGAAAAAACTTACCTGTAGTGTCCGAAGATCAAGTTCCGCGATCGACTTGAGAAGCTTAAGACCGCGACCAGCCAGGGTGCGCACGGCGGTCGTGAAGGTCTGATTGGGCGTCGGCGAGGCTCCTTTCTGATTCTGCGGCGTTAACGCGACCGCCGCGTAGAGCGCGCCGATCGCACCTGAGGCTTCGGTCGCCGACAAGGTCGACAACAAGTGCGCCTCGGAGCTTGTCTGCTCCGCGTTGCCGCCACCCTCGCCGTGTACGCTGACGTTATCTTGATCAACGGACCTCTTCAGGTGACCGCAGATACGTGCGAGAAGATCGAAAGACGATACAAGCAACGGCGACTCGTGCTCCTGATCCAGGAAGAAATCCGTCTCGATCAGGGCCTGACTATGGCGCGACACGCGATCCACCAGGCCGCCGGCTACCAGATAGCTGAAGCACAAAATGTTAGGAGCGCGTTCTCGTGAGATCGGGAGGAAGAAAATGACACGCTTGCTTCACACGGAGGCAACGTTGCAAGCAGAAATTACGTTAAGATTACATCTCTTCCTACAGTGTTTTTCACAAAGCTAGACTCTGAAATTGTAGTATAAATTATTGTAGAAGTAGTAAATTTTTGATGACTTTGATATACAATAATAAAAAAAGAAAATATTCGAGTAATTACAATAATTTTGTAATGAAAAATTGAATACGTGCATACAATATTTTTAAGCAGATTTATAGTAATTTCTGTCATAATTGGTCCATGATTACAAAAATTTTGTTGCAATTTTTACCACAACATTTCCTTCGTACGTTTTCGATATCAACAGACAAAATAAATTCGAAAATTACATTCAAAAAATACGGAATTTATATATTCTATTTCCACATTTCTGTCTATGTCGTTTTTGAGCTATGGCAAAAGAATGATAACGAAAGGGTTGCTATACATTGAAACATAGACTGAGAGGCAAAGGGTTAGCCTAGCGTACCATAATGACGTAGGTACGTCTACTCGTGGGTTAATGATTAAAAACGCTCATACTAAACGTAAGAGAAAACTTTCGTTATTTAAAATGCTCGTTGTGCCAGCACGTCCGTCATCGACTTCTGTCCGCGAAAGATTTTGCTTCTCGAATACGAAACAACGGTGATCGGGGTACGCTCGTCGATCACCGAGCGATCATACGGCAGCGAAGTGTGCATATGGGTGCTGGAGGAGGGAGATGGAACCGGATAAAAAAACAATGTATTGCTTACAGGACAGCATGTGCGACGGCGTAACACGAGAGGATTATAACATCAGTGCGTAATTCCGAACACGCGGGAGAGAGAGAGAGAGATAGAAAGAGAGAGAAAGAGAGAGAGAAGGAGGGAAAAGGGGAGACGCGACTAAAGCACGAGAAGAACAGAGATGAAGGGGACCGGGGGTGAAGTGAACGTGGAGTGGAGAGAGAGCGTAGGGGTGCCAGGGGGTCGTAAGCGTCGCGCATGCGATGCTCATTCTGTCGGGTTGTTGTATGTATATGTTTTCCTTTCTCGTAGGCAGCATCCCCTTTCGCGGCCGCGCAAGCCCGAAGGGGTGCGTGCCTGTCAGCGCGTATTATCGCCGCCCCCTTCGACCCTCATCGGCAGAAACGCACACAAACGCACGCACGCACGCACGGGGTCCGCGCCGATGAGTATTGGAATATATAATACACGGCGCGCAAGTGCATCGCCGCCGCCCTTCGCACCGTGCCCGCGGAAGACCAACTGTCGCGTCTAATCGTAACTAGTTGTAAGTTAATCCTGCCGCGCACTAGAGTTTCGTAGAGCTCGCGCGCATTCTCGGCGGACCATCGGCGCACGGAGCGAGACGTTACTTTTTTAAGATCGTACTCGTTTTTTCGAAAATTGTACTCACACGATACATATAGGGTAGAGATGGCTTGGCCGCGCCCAAACGCACCCTCGCTTCGTCAGCGGCTTCGATTAAAAGGAAAAAAAAAATACGATGTGGAAAGCGAATTTCGGCAAGAGAATGCACGACAGTATCGACGATATTCGATTGCATAATTACGTAAATTACGACATGGCGTCGTTTAAATAACCGTAATTTACGTAATTATGCAATCTTTCTCGACGCTACAGTCAACCGCAGTTGATTATAGTTAATTATGAAAGTTCTTACTGTACACAGAGAGAATATTGCAGTTCTTTTTCGTATGAATTCTCTTCAATTTTTCTATATACAAGGACTCTGGAAGTATATAAATTTAAATTAAACATATATTTGGCTGATAAGAGTCGAGCTCTGATGTTGGAATTAATTATTCGCTTGGGAGAATAATAATATTTGACAGAGTGTTAATGTACGTGATGGATGGGTTTTTCATTTTTTATAACATACGCAGTGAATCAAACCTTCCACGTCAAACTCTAAATCTCAATTTTTAGTATTAATATTAATTACCTGCCTTTATTACCTCATAATTACGCGCATTTTTTTCTTTATTTATTTAAAGCTGCGAAAATTGAGAAAATATTATTGACCAAATATACATTTAATTTCAATTTCTTCAGATGTGTTTCTAGTAGCGCAGGAATATACTAAGATCTCTCTTGTTGAGAAGAATAAATTTCACTAGAAATATAACAAATCTCTTAATAGCACATATTTCAATCCTTCGAATATAAATAGCGCATATAAAATGAAAGGGTAGTCAATTAAAATCAAATTATGTATTCCTCAGTTTGTAGAATTTTGTGATAATTTTCACTAGAAAATTCTCTCAGTTTTAACTGCGGTTGACTATAAAGAATTTTCACCACACACACTCTCAATCGAATGTACAAGTGTGACAGGATAAAACACCGGGTGGCGCGCTTCGCGTCGCTTTTAAGCGACTCTCACGTCATGGAGTATCCGTTTCCGGTTTCTCTCGTGGCGCGCCGGTGACGTCTTCGTCAAACGCGAGGGGTGTGAGAGGCGTAAGAGGTAGGTCCCCGACTCTGTCGAAGCGAGAAATACGATGTGCGAACACGAACCGCCGGTATCGACGGGCGAGGATGTGTAGCGATAGCTCGCGCTCGGGGCTCGGGCTAAATTCGCTAATAAAATGCGGCGAAATGATCGCGTCGCGCGGATTAGAATCGCTTAACACGCGTAACTACTGGCGGGTCCGCCACCGCGCCGGATTACACGACGAACCCTCCCCTTAACCTACAACAACACAGTGACAGTTGGGACAAGGGGAACACCGTTGTGTCTTCGGACGCAATAATTTTCGATGGGCGAGTAGCCACTCCTTTTTTTCTTCCTCTCTCTACCCTCTCCCATTCGGCTTCTATACTTTTTCTCTCTCTCTCTCTCTCTCTCTCTCTCTCTCTCTCTCTCTCTCTCTCTCTCTCTCTATCTTCTCCCGTTCGGTTCCTGCTTTCTCTCTCCCCCTCTCCCCTCCCCTCTCTCTCCACTTCGTTTCCGTTTCGTTCCACGTGGGATTACACCCGTGAAAGTCACTGCGCGCCGGATCGCTTAATCCTTTAACCCGGACGCGCGAGTAAAGGGATAAATCTTTCCGATCCGGCCGAGCGTTCGCTGACGTATCATTGGCGACCCGAAACATCGAATCATACTTTCGCACTCGCGTAATCGAGCTTGTGCCACGAAATCCCCACGACTTAAACTCTCCAGCCCCCTCTGTTACACGACTCTCTACTTCAACGCGACTGACTTTATTCGAGAATAATATCCGCGAGAGAGTTCTCGAGCCTTTGAGCGAAGTAGGAAGAATACGTGTTGTCTGCGACAATTAAGGTAAAAGTACCAATACCTGAACACGTACCTAATCCTATTCGATGCATTCAGATAATAATGTTTAAAAACGCGCGATATCTGTTTTCTATCTGTATTTCGCACCGCCTTCTTGCCGAAAATTTTCTTGAAAATCTATCTCGTTCGCGTATGGTATACACATACCATAGATCCGTGGTAAAATTTTTCCCAAGACGAAAGAGCTGCAATGCAGCTCAGAATAACAACGACAGAAACAATCTTCCTGAAACTCTAAAACAACACTTCAGTGAGCGTTTAAACCGTTTCTGTCCTACGCGGCGAAGGTAACGAAGCGATTCGCGCCAACCAGGAAGATCCTGCGTGCCGATCTTCCCGATCACGTCCGCCTCACGGAGGGGGTGTGTGGGTCGTCGTGGAGGGTGCCCCTCGGGCTGGAGCCCGAGATTGCGATCTATCATTGAATGTTTGCGGGGGGGCTTCGGGCAAATATATCGAATTTATTTATTATCCTCTTGCCCCGCCCCCGCATACATCCGCGGGGGAGGCGAACGGCCGCTCGCCCCGGAGGCCGCCATTAGCTAACCATATGATTATTTCATAGCGAGCTCGCGAGGGTGCATATCTTTACGCTTCTGGCCGCATCTCCGCCCGCACCCCCGCGTCTCTCCCTTCGCTCGCCCCCGATCCTCTGGCCCCGCTCCTTCCTTCGTCGACCTAGCAGTGGCTTATGCGATTTGCGCGCTGCATCGCGCGAGTGCACTTACGGTGCTGGAAGAGGCTCGAGGAGGGTAATCGGATGGATGGCCCGTAATTTGTATGTCGTGCCCGGATTACGAGAGCGCGGAAATACCGCGCGCGCGCGCACGAGGCTGTCCCGGTTTACGGTGTCGCGCGTAACTTAACGTGCCGTCTGGAGAACTTTCCGTAAAATAGTCCAAAATCTCTCACCCTCTCTCTTTCTTTATCCCAGCTGTAGCGTAACGAATAATTGTCGCGAAACGTGCAGAAAAACGGGAAGAAATATTGCCCGGCCGCGTTTCCGAAAGGGTGCAACCAACCGCGCCCGTGGAATTATCAAAAGTGTTTTCGAAAACACGGGAAATATTTGTGCGCGCCTCTCTGGTGTGTGCGCGCGTGTGTACGCGTGCGTTTAAAGTCGCATTAGTACACGCGATCGCGCGGGCGATAAAAGTACATAGCTTCGACAAACGAGGCGAAATAAAAATAAACGCACAACAATTTTCCCGTTGATTTAAACGAATAACGCAGGCGCGCCTAGCTGCAAATCGCTGCAACAAATTTCTCGTGGGTGTGTGTGCGCGCGAGCAGCAGTTCGAACAACGCTCTGCGCTGAGAAAATTATTTTTGTGTCTGGAACTAAAATCGCTCGTTTTTAAATATTTGGTATATATGATTTCGTCGACATTATCGTATTTTTCAACTTGTACATGTATTATTGAGAAGGCGAAACACACATAGTTAAATTCTTTGGTTGCAATTATGGAAACATTTGGTCGATCCCATTTTAACCAGGTTAACATTTATTTCCCCACTTGAAAGAATATTTTCTCAATATGAAAACAATGTGTATGAGTATAATATACTAATACATATATAGGTACAAGCTATTAATACCTATCGAATAAATATTTCTTATTTTTTAGATATG